GTGGTGATGGAGTTGAGGGGGAAGGCTAAATACTTTCATCCTTTAAAGTTGGCATCAAAATCAAAAAAAGTGGTGCCCAATTTCTACTTAAATACTCTTACTTTGTTCTTTCCCCCATTCTATTAAACCCACCCTCCACTTCCACTTTTTCCCTTTCCCTTTCCCTTTCCATAGTGCTTGTTATATGCCCTCCCCTCTAAACTCCACAACCCTCCCTTTCCTAGCCCTCTCTCGCCCCGCCACCGACTCGTTTTAAATATTAGAGTCACTTCCAACAAAGGATATACTTGATGATTCTATTGGCATGGTTAAGCTAACATCTCCTCAATCGAGCTCGACTTCTTTTCTAGAGTGTACTTGTTTGACAATTGAGGATTGTATTGACGTGGCTAAGTTAATGTTTTTTTGTTTGTACGAGAACTTAGGTTGCTCTGTCCACTTCTAACCACCTCAACCATTGATATTAAATCTTGATATCCATATTAAAAGAAATTAATAATTTTTTGAAACTTACTTTGCACCCTCACATTTAATATTTAATTCGTGTGAAATTATAGAAATATCTTGTACTTCAAGGCTCCAATATTTGTTGACTATGAGTAAATAAACCATTCAATTATTGGTCACATAAATTAAAGCGCAACTCATATTTATGCATCATTAATTCCCACTTACCATTTTATGTTTTCAATTATTGGAATTGGATTTCCCATCTTCAATTCAACAATTGTTTTTTAAAAAATTTAAAAAATTAATTATATCAATTTAAAAAATAATAGATATTGAGTCGGGTTAAAGAAGTAATTTTACTTATTTTTATTTTTATTTTATTTTTATTTTTTATAAAAGTTGAGGATAAGAATGATAGATATTTGTTGGGTGCATCTCCATTTCCTTCACTTTTGATTAAAGGAGGGAAGACCAAATAAAAACATTTTGAAATTTGAAAGAAAACGACAACTTTTCAAAAGCGTGAATTTCGTACATTTATTTCTTATTTATTTATCACTAAACGTCAATGGAGAAATTGATGCATCATTTGAAAAGTTTTAATATCAAAGATTATAGTTAATATTTGGATAATATTAAGAAAATTAAATTGATATAAATTATTGAGTCTAATTATTATGATTCACCTAATCTTAGGGTTTCCAAACGTGACCGAAGATATTAATTTTTAAATTTAAAGTAGATTTATTAGCCACGAGTAGTTAATAATCGGCCACGTCATTCACGAATTCTGCTAATTTATAATATATAATTAATTTAAAGAAGAAAAAAACATGAAGCGACCTAATTGGGCTGCTACAAAAGTAGGCCCAAGACACGCTCACGTGACGCTCTTTCACGCAAGGGGATCCGTACGACTTCTGTGAATTCGCGTTGGAGTTTTGCTGGAGAATCGCGGGACCCACAATGTACGAAAGCACTATACACGTGTCAGTGGGATCTCGATTATATATATATATATATATATATTTTTTTTTTAACCCTCCTTGCGTGGGTCCCACTCAAGGGTTGTCCGTCGGCTCCTACGCGCGTCGAGGGTCGCGCATGGTGTGGTTCCCACTCCAAGATTCGGCGTGTTCGAGGAGGTTATCACAGGAGGTGCGGGGCCCGATCCCCCACACCCCAATCAAACGGGTCTCCGGGCACGAACCCGCGGGGCCCACCAGAGTCTGGATGGAGTCAAAAACAAAAAAAAAAGGAAAATGGCAATGTGGAGTGGGAAATTTAATAATTGCTTTTGGGCCGGGGGGTGGTTTGTAAATACGATAAAACTTGTGTGGTTGTAGATAAATTTCAAGACTTTTCCGAAAGTGTAGTGGCCCACCAACATCACGTCGAGAGACTATTAGTCCACGTGGCAAGATCAGGTTCCTAATCCTTGCACTCAAAACCCTTAATTTTAATTAGTCGCGTCGCTATCTGAAAACGATAGTTTAACCCCTTAATTACAGCCTTTTAGACTTCCTCATAAGCATACAAATTCACTTTAATAAAGTTTTTTGCTTTCCTTCCCACACTAAAATTACCCTAAACCCAAAAAGTACCACCGTTAAATTTTGTCCCACGAAATGATATTTGTCTAAGAGACTCAAGATATTTGAAAAAGTCTTTGAAAATGAAATCGATTTAAATCATGTTCCAAAAAATAACTGTAGCCGTCCCCCATCAAAATGGAATTGAATTAAATATGTTTCATTTCGTGCATATATATATATCATAAATGTTGTGAATTCATGTTCAAAGCCCCACACACACATACAGCAAGTTGGGTACAATACAAAAAAGGAGAGAAATTTGGGATCAAAATCGAGAGGAACCATAGTTGAAAAGAAAAAATTAAAACATTATGGGTTTAAATTCATTTTATGTGGTTTGGGTAACATATATTATCAAAAAATGATAATGATTCTTAAAGTAGGAATGGGTGGAACTCATTACCGAAGAATAAGTCTAAATAGGTTGATGTAGGTAAATGATTTGAAACAAAGAAAGCATATACATGAACCTCTTATATCGTATCGATTAATTAGGGGATCGAATTTGTAACATGTTTTTCTTAATAATTGAGGAAGAGTTAATGTGCTCCTAAAAGTGTCGACAAAGCATTTGGCATAACACTCCGACCATTTTACGTACAATGTTAATTTTTAATTTAATTTTAATTATTGTCTTCCGCCTCAAACATGTGTTTGATGTTTGCCTTCTCAAATAAAACGTGTAGATTTATTCAAGCTTCCGCCATCCATTTCTTTTCGCAATCAGGGTGAGTGAAGCCCACGAGTAGAGGCCCAATAAAGCCCAAATGGTTGCTTACTTAGGTAGGAGAGGCCCAATTAGTTCTACCGGGTAATTGGGCTCCTAAATGTTGGACTTGGTTGGAAATGAAGTGGAATGGGCCCACTTTCAAAGCCCTTTATTTACCCTACCGTATTGGCGCTTATAATTTGTCGTATTCAACTATTATTGCACCTCTTTTGTATTGTACTCCACTGCGCATTATCCAACTAAACTATACCAATAAAGCTATAAATTTAATTAACAATTTCACTTTATTTATCTGATACCATTTGTAACGGCTTAAACTCAATCAACTTATGTAACTCTAACAATAGTCGTGGAAACCGGGAGGTAATAATAAATTAATAATTAAAGGAAGCAAATTTAGACCAGCCGTGCAATGAGTAATGAGTGATGAGTTATACAATTTCGGGGAGGGGGAGCAGAAAACTTGGATAGGGGGATTAATAATAATAATAATAATGATAAGGCATGTGCGCATCCAGGTGGCAGGGCACCAATTGTGGGCCTCCACGTGTTAGGGTATCGGGCCAAATCTGCACAGCAAGTCTGCAACTTCAGTTCCGCCCCATTCTAACATGCTGACCATGACATGGACAGTGATGAGTACTTGAAAGGCGGGCGGGGGGCGGGTGGTGCGCCATTCAAATTAAAAGGGTGGAGCCTAGACGGGGAGAAGAGCATGTGAGGATGTTAGAGAGGCAGGGCCATGGCGCCAGCATGGGCATGTACTAGACAGCGCACAATTATCGGCAAAGCGCATGTGGATTTTTGTTGTATCATTGCGGCTTCTACACATTGTATTAAGATATACGGATATTTTAACTTAAAAAAAAAAAAAAAACTAATTTATTTAAAAATATAATGATTTAGATTCGATTATTGAGGTCCCAATTGGTAGTCTATAATTTATTTTAACCATAAATATGGAACAGTCCACCCCGCAAGTTGGCAATGCATTGGTAGCCACGTGCTTCCCCAACGCCCCAACCTGCCCTCCCTTATTTTAATATTATTACTTCAATAATATTAAAAATAATTTATTACTGCCATTATAATATCATCTCCGCCTATTAATTATTATTCCACCCTTCTAACCCCTAAACCACAATTTCATTCATTAATCAATCCAAACTCATTGTTCTTAATTACCATCTGAACAATTTATGTTCCAAGATTATTAATTTAATTATGTGAAATTACATTTAAGTTCTTAAACATTGTCACTCATTAATACTTGGTATAATTGATGATGATAGAAAATTAATAAAGTAGTGTCGGCGAAGGAAGATGCATTATCCAGTTAACCGTCCCGACACCGGAATTTCTTACTAGGCATCGTTTTTTTTTTTTTTTTTTTTTTTTTTTTTTTTTTTTTTTTTTTTTTTTTTTTTTTT